GTGTGTGTGTGTGTGTGTGTGTGTGTGTGTCCTTAGTCTGACATAGCTTGAACTACTTGGATAAGGCTGGGCCTGTATCTCAGTGGCACAGCTCAGACAGTGTAACTGAGTGTAGGTCGGCAGCTGAAGGAAGGAGCAGGGATTAAAAAACTGTCTATGAACTTTTGACCCAGAATGGCTCACTAAAAAAGATGTATCCTGCGTTCAAACCCGTACAAAAGCCTGACTCGTATAACAACATATATCCTTGTGATGCAATATTTTAATTCTATCCACAAAATTCATTTTTGGTTGAAAAGTAAATTCTACAACTTTGATGAAGCGTTTTAAGCTTGTGGAATGAAATGGAAATCATTACAGGTTGTACAAATGTTGTCTTCCATCAGGGGTGTGTGCAACAAAGGAACTCAAGGTTTGCAATTAAATGATACCGCAACAATTTGACTGTAAAGTTTTATTTACTAATGATGGTAAATAAAGACCGTTTTTTGATATTGCTTCTTCATCATTAAATGAATCTGAAAACTGTTTGCTTCTAGGTTGTGCCAGATATTAGATAATGATAAAAACAACATGGTTATAAATAAAAGAAAGACTACAGTAGTGAACTTATAATAACCCCAGAACACGGATGAAATTATTTGGTTAAAAGTGACAGAAGGATTTGACAAAGAAAGAGCAAAATGAAAACAGGAAGCACAGATAAGAAGACATGAAACCAGAGAATGGACAGAGAGTTATGGCCCAGTGTTTATTTGTCATCGAACAGGCAGCTTCTAACATGACAGTCAGCAGCATCACTGGGGCTCAATATATTCTTTCATTTGCTTTACAAAGTCTAAATAAATGCACAACACAATCTGTCACCCTGATGAATTCAACTTGGTACAGCAGACCATCAAAGCATGAACTGACTGAGCAGCTGTGTGTGAAAAAAAGGAGGAGATACAGATTGACCCACCAGTGTAACCGGCCAGACAATCTACCGGACCAAAGACTAGTCCAAAATCTTTTTGCATCTGAGTTGCTTGGCTCGCCACCAGCCCACAGGTCAACAGGCCCAAACTGGAAAACTGACGGTACTCCAGATGGCTGGTCCGCCTATACGGCTGTCACCAGTATCGTCGGGGCAACCTGACAGGACCATGGAAAATTCTTTGACGAGGGGAAGGAGCTCGTGCAAAATGTCATCCCTCTCTTTCACACTCATCTACCACTTCACTGGACTGGTGTTGTTCAGCGTCTGCCCTGCAAAAAGCCAGCATCTGTTCATGTCCTTTGGAGTATTTTAAAGTACGTCTATAA